TGGTTTAGTAATGGCAAATTTCTTCAACATGTGAATATTATTAAAGTATTTAATTTCTCCATCATAAATGAAGCTCAGTTTAGCTGGATAGAGGAGAGGATTCTGGGTTGAAAGTTGTTTTGTTTTAGGAGGTTGAAGGTCGATGACCACCCTCTTCTAGCCTGAAAGGTTTCAGCAAAGAGATCTGCAGTCATTCTAATATTCTTTCCCTTGTAAGTTAATGTTTTCTTGCGTCTAGCTGCTTTCAGGATTTTCTCTTTCATGTTAACTTTAGTGAAGTTGATTATGATATGCCTGGGGGATGTCTTGTTTGGGTTGAGTCGTGTTGGGGTTCTGAAGCTGTCTGCTATCTGAATTTCAGGATCCCTTGGCATGTCTGGAAAGTTCTCTTTCATAATTTCGTTAAGCAGAGCCTCTGTGTTTTGTGAAGTAACTTCGTCACCTTCAGGGATTCCTATGAGGCGAATGTTAGTTTTCTTGAATTATCCAAGATCTCTCTGAGTGAGAGATCTGTCTTTGTTCTCCATCTGTCAAAATCTTTGGAAGTCTGGGTGCATTCAAAGTCTTTGTCTTCAGTGTCGGAGATTCTATCTTCTGCCTCGTCCATCCTCTGATGGAGGGATTCAAGGTGCTCTTCAAATCTGTAACCTCTTGTTTCAGAGTATCGTAATCCTTGATCATTTTATCTTTGAAATCATTGAATTCCTGGGACAGCTTTTGAATGATTTGAAATTCTAGCTCCCTCTTTTCCTCCAACCTGTTGATCTTACTCCCTATCCAGATTCTGAACTCAATTTCTGACATTTCAGATATCTGTTTATGTAGTGGGTCTTCCATTGTGTCTACCCCATCCTTCTTTGGGGACATTAATCTACTCTGGTTATTCTGGTTGCCAGAGTTTTTCTGCTGTTTCCATCCCATGTTCAATTTGCACCTTTCAGAAACCATCTCTAAAACTGTTCTACCAGTGGCTTCTTCTAGTTTTCTCCTGGGCATAACCCAGCAAGACCCCAGGAGGCAGGGCCAGCAGGTGGGGTGATGCAGCCCACCCCTGCAGGAGTCAGTGTGGCCGTCAAGGCCCTGGGAGGCAGGTGCAACCTACCCCAGTGGAGGTCAGTTGTCCTTGCTGGCTACCAAAGCCCCAGAGGCAGGTGCACTGCTGGCAGAATGATGCGACCCTCCCTGGCAGGAGCTGCTGGGGACCGCAAGCTGGCAAGGCCCCGTGAGGCGGGTATGCAGCTGCACGACCTGCCCCAGCAGAAGTCAGTTGTCCTTGCAAGCCACCAAAGCCCCAAAGGCAGGCGCACAGCTGGCGGGATGGCACAACCCTCTCTGGCAGGAGTTGGCGGTGATCGCGTGCTAGGAGGTCCTGGGAGGCAGGCGCATGTCTGCGCGAACTGCCCCAGCAGAAGTCAGCTGCCCTCACAGTTCGCCAAGGGGTGCACGCGCCACTGGCAGGATGGCACAACCCTTCCCAGTAGGAGCTGCTGGGACTGCCAGCCTACAAGACCCTGGGAGGTGGGCGCGAGACTGCGCAACCCGCCCAGCAGAAGTCAATTGCCCTCCCTGGCCACCAAAGCCCTGGAGGCTGGCGCACGACTGGCCGGACTGCGTGACCCTCTCAGGCAGGGGCTGGCGGTGATCCAGGGCCAGGGGTCCCCAGGAGGGAAGCGCGCAGCTGCTTAACCTGCCCTAGCAGAAGTCAATTGCCCTCACCAGCCACCAAAGCCCTGGAGACAGGCAAGCAGCTGGCGGGACTGCGCAACCTTCCTCAGCAGGAGTCAATGGCAGCTGCAGGTCCCCAGGAGGCGGGTGCGGCTCAGTGACCCGACCCAGTAGAAGTCAATCACCGTCAAGGGCCACCAAAGACCCGGAGGCGGACGCCTGGCGGGGTGTATAGCCCTCCCTGTCTGGCGTCAATCCCAGTTGCCAGCACCAAGGTCTCAGGAAGTGCAGATAGCAGCCCAGGAGACAGCTGAGCGCGGAATGCGCTGACTGAGGGGGATCCGTCTGCTCGCAGAAACTGTGGATCAAGCAGTTCTCCTGGTGAAGAACGAGGACAGGGGTTTGGTCTTGAAAGGGTGGGTGGATGTTGTGCTTGGTTCTCCTCTCCCTGTCTCTGTGGAGCGTCCTCTAGAAGTCTCCGCCTGTCTCAGAAGAGGTGTCCTGCTGGTATCACTCTTCTCTCTCAGCTGGGCTCCCAGTTTTCGAGTTTGTTGGGAGTTTCTCTGGACTTTATCCTTTGCCCTGAACAGGAGCTTCTGTCAGAGACTGGTGCCTGTCGGCCATCTTGACCATGCCCCGACACAAATAATCCCTCGGCCTGTGGCGGCAGCACCCGCTCTGGCTGCTGTGGCTCTCCTGACGCAGAGCCTGGATTTCTCTTTTAAATGACTACATTTTTTATGTCCAGAATGTCTATGTGGCTCTTTTTCATAGACATATGTTTTTTGTTCATTTCTACTTATTTTGGCTTCTCTTGACTTTAAAATGGATCTTTTTGAAAACATTAAACATTTATATTAAAATATCTGTGAGGTAATAATAATTTCATAGGGAATGAACTAATATTATGAGTGATTTTGGTTGCATTCTTTCTTTAGTTTTCATTACTTGTTTTATAGTTTTTAATTGCAAACTGATTATGAGTAGGAGGTATTTTGCCCCTCCTTTTGTTTTCTCTTCTGTATTGCTAGTCTGGTTTCACCTATCTCTTTTTCCCTTTCTATACTCCCATCCTAATCTAGTTTTACATTGGCATTCAGGTGACAAGGCAAAATTTCATATTCACTATTTTAAGATAAATAATTGAAATAATGAATAATTTATTAACTTGTCTTTAGTTTTGCATGGAGAACCAATATAGAGTTTGAAGTATTTCTGTCTGACAAGTAAATCAATGCAGTTTATTATCTTTAGGAGTTAGAGGCATGGAGTGAAATCATTAACTTCAACAAGTCTACATGCAATGCTTTAAGATTAAAAGTTAATTTCCATCGGAAATAACATAAAATCTTTGCCATCCAGATATCTTAAGTGGAAATATTTGATAGCAGTGTGATGCATAATGTTTCAGTCAATGACAAACTACATACATCACAATGTTCCCATAAGATTACAACAGAGTTGAAAAATTCCTACTTTCTAGTGATGTTGCAGCTGTCATGACATTATAGCTATTGTAATGTTATAGCATAACTCTTTACTCAGGCATTTGTGGTGATGCTGGTGTCAATAAGCCTATTGTGCTGCCAGTTGCATAAACGCATACAGTATAGAATAGTATAGTATAGAATTCTTGATAATGATAATGACGGTTATAGATTTATTTATTTAGTAGGCTATACTTTTTATTATTTTAGAGTATTTTCTCTCTGTCTCTCTCTCTACATACACACACATATATATATATATATACACACACACACACACACACATATATATCAGCCTCAGGCAGACCCTTCAGGAGGTATTCTAGAAGAAGGCATTGTTATTGTAGAGATGACAATTCCACATATATCACTGCCCCTGAAGACCTTCTGGTGAAGGTTGAAGACACTAATATTGATGGTCCTGTGTAGACCAAGGCTATTATGGATGTTTTTTTCTTAATTTTTACAAAAAAGTTCAAAAAGTAGGGGCAGCACCTGTGGCTCAAGGAGTAGTGTGCCAGCTCCATATACCAGAGGTGGCAGGTTCAAACCTAGCCCCAGCCAAAAACTGAAAAAAAATTCAAAAAGTTAAAAAAAATTGAAAATAGAATAAGGATAGATTAAAAAATATTTTTGTATAGCTGTACAATGTGTTTGCATTTTAAGCTAAATGTTATTATAAAGGAGTCAAAAGTTAAAAAAAATTAAGTTTATGGAAGTAAAAAATGGTATAGCTAGTGTTAATTTAAATGAAAAACATTTAAATAACTTTAGTGTAGGCTAAGTGTACAGTGTTTAAAACATCTATAGTCATGTACAGTAATATCCTAGTGTATTATGTTTACTCATCACTCATTCACTGATTCACTTGGAGCAACTTCCAGTCCTGCAAGCTTCATTCATGGTAAGTGCCCTATACTGGATTTTATATGGTGTTTTTACTTTACATTTAGATTTATTAATATGCACAAATATTAAATATTTACTGTTTCTTACTATTGCCTAACGTAGTCAGTGCAGTAACATGCTATACAGGTTGGTAGACTAGGAACAGTAGCCTATACCATAAAGTCTAGGAGTACCGTAGGCTACACTGTCCAGCTTTGTGTAAATATACTCTATAATGTTCACACAATGATGAAGTAGTCTAACAGTACATTTCTCAGAATATATATCCATGACTGTAGCCTCAAAAGTGTACTTTAAGAATTCTATCAGACAAATCAGTAGGATTTGAATTTTTGATGTAATGTTTTTAGTTCTCATCTTTATTTAACAACATCTTCTAAATGCATTCATGATCAATATTTTGTCTCTTTTCAGTACCTACATCAATGATCACTTTATGTGTTCAAAGTTCCTTTAATCAATAAAAACCTATTGAGAAGGTTTATTACTTCAAAGTATTAAGTTGGATTCCACTTGTTAGAACTTATTAAAAAAGCACAAGTACTAAAGAAATCTAAGGCTTTGTATAATAATTAAAATTAAAAAATAAATATAACACTTTAATATTACTTTCCTACAGAACTTCCTTTTACATGGTGGTATGGGTAATACAGATCCAGCTACATAGTTGATGGGCTCAACTTAGCTGAGCTCATAGTTTTAAGGTTTTATCTTTTGTTTTATTAACATTATAGCTTCTTATACTATCTAAGATCAAATAGGAATCTAATTTTCTTCAGTTCCTTTCCTTGGAATGAGGATGTTGGTTATATTTCTTAGCCTTCTTTTACCTTTAATCTTCACCTTTTGAAAGATGAACCTAGTCAATACAAGCCTAAGCATAATTTTTAATTAGTATTCTAAAATAAACAGAATTATGACTTTTGACCCAGAACTTACCAACTTGCAAATTGGTTTCAAATATTTCATGAATAAGTTTGTTAAAATCATATGTTACTTTTGAAAGAGAATCAGCTTCAAGACTGGGACAAAATATTATATCATCTTTGTGTCCATCTTCACGGTTTAAAGTTCCTCCAAATGCCCAAGTAAATGCAAACACAAAAAGCTTTTTAATCATTACTGTTAATTTATCAGGATTTTTCTCCAGATACCATATAACTTCATCCCTGCAGTAAGTATATATGGGGAGAATGAAAGTTAAAACTTTTAGGAATCAGTTTAGAAATTTACATAAATATCTTATCAAAGTTTCACTATTATTACCTATAATACAGTTAAATATTGACATAAAAGCTTCCGATTTCATGTATCATTTTCCCTTTGATAACATGTAACAAATTACACATTGTTATTTTTTTTTTATTAAATCATAACTGTAGACTACTATATTTCTGAAGAACTATATCTGTAAGAGATTTGTTGTCAAACTTCATTGGAAATACACCTTGAATATATGTTTTTATTTAATGTGTGTACATACAAGATCTGACAATTAAGTCCATCAACTCATCCTAGAAAAAGTGCGACATAACTCATTGCTGAATATCACTACAGTCACCTCTGAAGTACTCCCCTTGGTAATTATGTACCAACACCAGTGCTTATTCCATCCTTCAAAACAATTTTGGAACTCTTTCTAGAATGCCCATCAGAGCTGTCATTGAGAAATAAAAACACACATCAATAATAAAGAACTCCACTCAGGAAGACACTGCCACATGTTGACATGAACACAACTATGAGACACTGATAAACCAAGGTTATGAAACATTACTAAGCTGTTTGCAGTGCTGCCAACGTAAGCACATAGTGGAAAGTTGGCAAACTCAATTGTCAGACCTTAGTACAACAACAGTTTTGACGGTCATTTGAGAAAAAGACTTCCAAAATTGCTTTGAAGTGTGGACTAGGCATTGGTTGGTGCATAGCTTCCCAAGGGAAGTAAATTGAAGGGGAACATGATACTCAGCAATGAGGTATGTAGCATTTTTTCTAGGATGAGCTTGCAAACTTAATTGCCTAAGTATGTGTACTTTTACAATATGCCTTTACTAAATATATGTTTAATATGGTTTATCTAATATATGTATATATGCTTCCCTTTTATTTTAGGTCAACTTATTAGTCAAGCATTTACTTGTCTTTTGGGAAAGGATCTGATAATTCCTCATTTTCTGTGAAAAGACATAAATGAATAGTCATCCACCCTGTATTCCTCTCAATCAAGTTCCTAGGGGTTGATTTAGTTCAACTTGATTTAGTTCCATCTGGCTGTAAAGCCCGGCAGTATAAATCTGCAAGGAGTCTTCTCTAGTCCGGGTTGACCCAGGTTATCCTTTGTCAGTGGGATTCTGAAATTCTACAGAGACAGAGGTGATGGCAATGGGGCTGAACAAGAGGTTTGGGCCGGATTTCAAGATACTTTTCATAGTTTAAGATTTAGAATTATCATAAAATTATTCACAAATTATAAAAAAAAGTCATTGGGTGGCACCTGCTGCTAAGTGGGTAGGACGCCAACCCCATGTACTGAGGGTGGTGGGTTCAAACCTGGCCCCATCCAAACTGCAACAAAAAAAATAGCTATGTGTTGTGGCAGATGCCTGTGGTCCCAGCTACTCAGGAGGCTGAGGCAAGAGAATCGCCTAAGCCCAAGATCTGGAGGTTGCTGTGAGCTGTGATGCCTTAGCACTCTACCAAAACGACAAATTGAAATTCTGTCTCTATTAAAAAAAAAAAGTCATTGACCAAGAATTTAATTGGAATGTTTTAGCAACCATTCATGTATAATTCATTTGCACAGTTTCTGTCTGAAATTTTAAAGCCATGTGTAAAGCTCATTCAGCAAATATTTATTGAGTGGCTGCTAAGTATCACTCTGTACAAAACGTCATCTGATCCCTTTTTTACAGAATAGGAAAATTAATAGTAAAGCATGATAAGTGCAAAGCATGAAGAATCGAGCATATCGTGAAGAATAATAGTAGGCATAACTAATTTAGATTGTGAAAGTCAGAGAAGGCCTATTGAAGAAACAATTATTCAACTGAGACCTGAAGGTGAGATTTGGTAAAAGATAGGAGGAAGAACATTTTGGGAAGAAGGAATACATGTGTGAAGATCATGAGGTCAAACTATTATGGCATATTTGAGGAACTGGGGAAAAACAAACAAGTGTTATTCAAGCACAATTAGAGAAAGAGATTAGGAGATTATTCTGGAAGGGTGGACAGGGCTTTTAAAACTGTACCAAGATACTTTTCTTTAAGAAGAAGTCATTAAATGGCTATAAAAGAAGCATTATATGCTTTAAAAAGTTCAAACTATTGCATATAAAGTACCAGAAGACTTGTGCGAGCATATTAATTACAGCATAATATTTTAATAAAAAATTGAAAACAAGCTAAATGTTTATCAGTGGATAAATAAACTGTGATGCTGTGATATAGGTATATAATGACAATGGATTATTTGCAGTGAGAATGAAGAACAGCTACATGTACAATATACTAATGAGAGAGATATAATGGTGAATAAAAAATGCAAGTCACAGAAGCTCATACAGAATGATTGTTTATTTAAAGTTCAAAAGGGCACAAAGCTGAAAAATATGGTACTTGTGAATGTATTAATAAACACAAAATCCAAGATCAAAGTTATCTTAGATGATGGGATGGCATAAAATATAGGATGTATGTGGGTGACTTGAAAACTAACATGCTTTTTCTATAACTATGTGTATATGGGCATTTGTAGCATTGCTTTTTATATCTTATGCATATTTTATAAATATTTGTCTATGACTCCTATGTATTTAATAAAAATTCAAAATAGCCTCTTTTTGTTATACTGAGAATGGAGTAGAAGAATTGGAGAAACCAATTAGAAGGTTATTGCAACAATATAGGCAAGAAATGATGGTGTGTTAGGATGCTGTAATCAAGATGGTGTTAAGTGAAGGGATGTGAGTTAGAGCTGACAGGTAGAGTGGGAACCATATTTTGAATATGTTATTATTTAAAAGCAACTATGACATAAATGTCTCTGGGATTTATAACGAGAAGTAGGAAGGATCCAACAGTGACTCTTATCTTACAAAATGGTAGAGAAATGTAGAACTAATTGTTTTTATAGCTGTAATTTACTCAGAATTTACTATGTACCAGGCTCTATTCTAGATAACTACAGATCACATTACTAATTCAGTTTTACAAGTAAAAAAACCAAAGCTTAAAAAATATTTAGTAACTGGTTCGACAATTCACATCTCATAAATGGCAGATTCATAAAATAAATTCATGTCAATGTTATTCCTTCTCAAATATGTACAGGGGAACCTGCAGCCTTAAGGCCACTTGTGGCCTTCCAGGTCAATATGTGCGGCTTTTTGGCTGAATCCAGATATTACAGAACACATACTTTTATTAAAATATGTACAAGAGAGAAGGGTGAAGCTTTTCTTGCCTCCTTTGGTGCTTAAAGAACAATCTTGAAATCAGAAGGCCCTAGATTCCCCGCCCCTGAATTATTTCAAAATTTAGCATAAAAATTGGGTGATCTTGTATTACCTATAAATAGGACCCTAAGTAGGAATAATATAAATTTAAGTGCTTTCTGATTTTATGAAATCACAGAAGTGTTGGTTTATTGAGAAGTCATCCTTTGTGTATTTGAGTGTTTGGCACCTAGTGGGTACTAAAATATTTGTTAAATAAATGTAACTGACCTCTCTTCTATATCTTTGAATTTGGTAGAATCTTCTTGAGGTTTCACTTCCTCAGTTGGAGTGTCACTCAAATCATCACCTTAAAAGGAAAGAGTATTTTTACACAATTAACAATAGACCTGAAATTTAACTGGCTAATTGATGACATTTAACTTTTACATTGTTTAGTAAGGGAAGTGTCATAGGAAACATCTTAGTTACACATAAGAATTAATAGAATAAATTTCTTTTGTAAGTAAAAGAGGAGCAATTGTCTGAATTGATTTTTTAAATTTATTTGAAGCATGGAGCTGCATACTTTTGTTAATTTTTTTTCATAAATCTGATTGTTCCAAAATGAAAACTTCAAAACATTCAGGGGACTACCTCCAAATATGGTGCACATTGCAAACTAAACAATAGATGGGTCCTTATAAAGTAGAGCATGAAAAAAGCTGCATGCTTATAAATAAGAAATTTATCAAACAAACATACAGCAGGTGTGTTTTAGACAGATGATAGTTGTCTCTCTCCCACCCCTATCACCCGGATTTTTTGTCCAAGTTATCGATTCTACAGAGTAACACAGAGTAGTCAAGCATTTTTCTCTTTTGCTTATTTTTTTCCTTCATAATATTTGTTTTCTTAATATTAAAATATATTTCCTTCAGAACATTTAGAAAATACATGTAAATATACTGAAGAAAATAATTATCTATAATTTTATCACCTATAACTAATAGCCATTAAAATGTTAATGTATTTCTTATGGTCTTTTATATAAAGATAAATTATGTCAAATGTATTAATATTTAAAAATTTAAACTTAAATAAAAAGTTAAAAAGAGACTTGGAGGGTACATGTGAATCTCTCTAATTATAGAATATAAATGTCTTAACACAATAACTAAGAAAAAGACATGAAGGCTATGTTAACAAGTTGGATGAAAGTATTTCAAATTGTATGCAGAAACAGGACACTGTACCCCATGATAGTATTAATGTACACTGCTATGATTTAACAAAAAAAAAAAATTAAAAAAAAAGGCATGCATACAGCCATCTTCCAACTGCAACAGATGACAAAGATATATGATTTAAAAAATAGAGAGACTTGGGCTCTTTTCCTACTTTATTATTTTAAGCCTATCTTAATGTCACTAAAAATTCTCTGAAACATGATTTTTTTGCATCATAATTTATTAACTGATTCTCTCACTGTTAGAATTCATATTACTGAATAATTTGCTATGAATAAATTTCTTTTTGCATAAATATTTGTACAATTCTCAATTGTACATAAATCAATTTGTACAATTGATTATTTCTTTATAAAAAGTTCCCAGAATAAAATATACTAGGCCAGAGTATCCTGATATTTTTAGCTTATATTGACAAATAGCTTACCAAAAAGGGCTGAATCAGTTCATACTTCAGTTACCTTCTGTGAAAGTTTATACTTCATCACATTGTAGCCATAAATGTGTTTCATTATTTCAGAAAACTCCTTAACAATTTTATCCAATTTTTAAATAAAATTTCCTGTCATTATCTATGAGATTAAATATTTTCTTAAAAACTTTTATTGGAAATTTTAGTACTTGTTCAAAGATCCCTGTGATCCAATAACATGTTTTTTATTAAGTCATATACAATAGATCATGAATACATTCATGCATATGTGGGATACAATGTGTTGATTTTTTTATACAATCTGATGAGCTTACATCAAACAATCTTTTGCTTCATTTAGCTTTTGCCTCAATTACTTGATTATTGTGTTAAGACATTTATGTTCTTTTATTTTTAGAGATAGAGTCTCACTTTGTCACACTTGGTGGAGTAATGTGGTGTCACAGCTCACAGCAAACTCCAGCTTTTGGGCTTAGGTGATTCTCTTGCCTTAGCCTCTCGAGTAGCTGGGACCTTGCCTGGTTTCTGATCTGAGTAGAAATGATTTCAATTTTACTCCATTCAGTATAATATTGGCTGTAGGTTTGCCGTAGATGGCCTCTATCAGTTTAAGAAACGTCCCTTCTATACCTATTTTCTTAAGTGTTCTGATCATAAAAGGATACTGGATATTATCCAAAGTGTTTTCTGCATCAATTGAGAGAATCATATGGTATTTGTTTTTTAATTTATTTATGTGATGAATTACATTTATAGATTTATGTATATTGAACCAGCCTTGAGAATCTGGGATAAAACACACTTGGTCATGGTGTATAATTTGTTTGATATGTTGCTGGATTCTGTTTGCTAGGATCTTATTGAATATTTTTGCATCAATATTCATTAGAGATATTGGTCTGTAATTTTCTTTTCTCATTGGATCTTGTCCTGATTTGGGGATAAGGGTGATGTTTGCTTCATAGAATGTGTTGGGAAGTATTCCTTGCCCTTGAAGTTTGTTTCAGTGGGGATGACATGCATGGAATTTTTTCTCCTTGTGTTCAGCTCCCCAAGTTTGACTTTGCTAAGTTCACTCAGTCCAACTTTTCTCTTTCTGGACAGGAACATCTGGTGAAAGTTGCCTCTAATTAGACATCTTGCTCCCCACTCTGAATTTTTTTTTTGTTTGTTTTTTTGCAGTTTTTGGCCAGGGCTGAGTTTGAATCCGCCACCTCCAGCACATGGGGCCAGCGCCCTACTCCTTTGAGCCACAGGTGCCGCCCACCACTCTGAATTTTTTTTATAGTTTCTTCTCTTAAACATAGTTTATCTTCATTGTTTTATGTTTTCAGTTATAAATTTCCTTCTGAATATCTGTAAGCTTTGATATGTATGCTTAGATTCTGTATTTCTTTATTAACTTGTTCTCCAATCAAAACGTAAATTTTGTTGTGACTGAGATTTTGTCTGGGGAAAAATTATAAGCCCATTTTTTTTCACTCAAGCTTGGCTAGAAAATCCAGGTAAAACTCAAGGTCAGAGCCTTAATTAACAGTTTTATGCAAAATCTTATAAAGAGTATCTGTCCACATAGGTGCCTTTAGAAGACAAGGCACTCTTCCAACCATGGTATCTTACTAAATAGATAGAAATAAGGCTAGTTAATAGTGACATAATGATTACTACAGAGTTCTGGATTTTGGTTATAAAAAATTGAGTTTTTAGATAAAAGTCTGCTTAGATGGACAAAGTGATTTCTTATAATTTTGGAAAAGCTTTGTTTTAAACTTTCCAAGGACTATAGACTCTAAACTGTTTGGGACACTGCAATTATTAAATGTTATAGAAAACCACATTTGTTCACTTACGGTGCTATATTAAATTTGAGATAAGTAGTTTTTTTGATCAACAACGATATTATAATTAATTCACTATTTATAATTTCTTCTTTATTTTGTAACTTCATTAGTATACAAATTGCCTAAGTTGCCTGGCAGATAAGGGTTAATTGACTTTTCCTCTGTAGGCCTTCTAATATTTCACCTTCTGCCTTTGACTGGTTTATTTTCAAAAAGCAATGAAATGTGAATTTTTCTCTTTAAGTCAATTCTGTTTCCTGTTATAGCCACAGTGCCTAGGACAGCTCCTGGCACACAGAGACTGATCAATAAATACTTATTGAAGGAAATAATTCAATCCTAAATATTGAAAGCATTTTAAAAATAATATCCTAAAGGATTACTTATGACACCACTTTTCAATTTGATAAAGAGCATTGATGAAAAAACAAAACAAAACTAGAATCATACTTAAATGATAAAAAGTGAAAGCTTTATAGCTAAGGAGATAACAACTAAAGCAAATAGATGACCTGCACAATGGGAAAGGATGTTTGCATATTTTGAATCAGACAAAGCTTGATAACTAGGATCTACAGAGAACTCAAATTAATCCACATGAAAAAAGCCAACAATCCCATATAGCAATGGGCAAGAGAGATGAATAGAACCTTCTCTGAAGAAGATAGACGAATGGCTAACAAACATGTGAAAAATGCTCATCATCCCTAATTATTAAAGAAATGCAAATCAAAACCACCCTGAGATATATCTAACCCCAGTGAGAATGGCCCACATCACAAAATCTCAAAACTGCAGATGCTGGTGCAGACATGGAAAGAAAGGAACAGTTACACTGCTGGTGGGACTACAAACTAATACAACCTTTTTAGAAGGAAGTAAGGAAGTATGGAGAACTCTCAAAGAACTCAAGCTAGACCTCCCATTTGATCCTACAATTCCATTACTGGGGATCTACCCAGAAGGAAAAAAATCCTTTTACCGTAAGGACACTTGCACTGTTTATCACAGCTCAATTTACAATCGCCAAAATGTGGAAACAGCCTAAATGCCCACCAGCCTAGGAATGGATTAACAAGCTGTGGTATATGTATACCATAGAATACTATTCAGTCATTAAAAAAATGGAATTTACATTTTTTGTATTAACCTGGATGGAAGTGGAACACATTATTCTTAGTAAAGCATCATAAGAATGCAGAAGCAAGAATCCTATGTATTCAATTCTCATATGACAGTTGATGACCCAGTACATGGTGGGAGGTGGAAGAAAGGGAGAGCAGGGAGATGGAAGGAGGGAGGGAGGTGGGGGAAGGGGGAGCAGAGCCAGGGAAGGAGGGAGGGGAATGGGGATTCACAGTGTGTGACATACCTTTTCGGGGTGGGACACAGTTATAATAGGGACTTTACCTAACAAATGCAAAGAATGTAACCTGGTTCTTTGTACTCTCAATGAATCCCTAACAATAAGAAATAAATAAATAAAATTTTAAAAAGTGAATGCTTTTCCTCCAGGTTAATAGAATGTTGATATGTCTATTTTCAACACATCTGTCAAACATTCTTATGCAGTTTGCACTCAATATAATAAGTTTAAAAAAGCATACTAACTAGAAAGAAATAAATTATATTTTATTCACAGATGACATGGTCATTTATGTAGTCAATACAAAAGAGATTTCCAAAAAACAAACAAACTAACAAAAAGCTTAATGAAACTAATAAGTAAATTTAACAGATATGCAGAATATACAGCAATGTACAAATACCAAGTGCATTTCTATATACTAATAATCAATGACTGGAAATTGAAATTTTAAAATATTTATAACATTACAAATTTAACTCTTAGAGATAAATTTAAGGCAAATGTACACTAAAAAAGATAAGTCATTATTAAGAGAATTAAAGAAGACGTAAATGGGGTGACATATCATGTTCATGGATCTGAAGACTCAAAATTTTTTTTTTTTTTGGCCAAGGCTGGGTTTGAACCCTCCACCTCCAGCATATGGGGCTGGTGCCCTACTCCTTTGAGCCACAGGCACTGCCCTGAAGACTCAAAATTGTTAACATGTCAATCTTTCATAAATTAGCCTAAAGATTCAATGAAACTCCAAAGGCCGATAAGCACACAAACAAATGATCAATGTCATTAGACTCTGGATAGATGCAAATTAAAACCACAGTAAGTTATCACTACATACCCACTGGTATGACCAAAATTAAAGTGTCTGTCAATACTAGGTTTTGGTGTAGATGGCGAGTAACTAGCACTCTCATAAATGTTGGCAAAGATGCAAAACAGAACAGCCAGTTTTGAAAACAGTCTGGCAGTTTTTTATAAAGCTAAATGTGTACTTAAATATGATCCATTCTGAGGGAGACATACACCTATGTAACAGAATAGAATACTTAGAAATTAAACCAGCCTCATATTGGCACCTGATCCTTGATAAACAAAACAAAAGCATACACATGGTAAAAGAATCCCTATTTAACACATAGTGCTGGGAGATCTGGTTAGCTACATGTAAAGACTGAAATGGAACCCACCCCTGTCACCACTTACAAATCACGATGGATAAAAGATTTAAATCTAAGGCACAAAACAATAAAAAATCTAGAAGAAAGCATTGGAAAATCCTTAATGACATAGGCTTTGGGAAAGATTTTATGAAGAAGATTCCATTGGTAACAGTGGGAACATCAAAAATAAATACATGGGACCTGATCAAACTTAAAAGCTCCTGCATAGCTAAGGACACAATAGAAAAGGCAAAGAGACATACTTCAGAATAGGAGAAGATATTTGTATGTCACAAATCTGACAAAGGGTAAATAACCAGAATCTACAGAGAACTTAAGCAAAATGATAAGAAAAGAGCACACAACCCAACTAAAGATTGGGCAAAAGACATGAACAAAACCTTCTTCCAAGAAGACATAATAGCAACAAGTACAAGAAAAATTGCTTATCATCCCTAAGCATCAGAAAAGTGCAAATCAAAACCACTTTGAGATATCACCTAACTCCAGTGAGAATACCCCACATCACAAAGCCCCAAAGCTGCAGATGCTGGTGAGGGTGCAGAGAGAAGGGAGCACTTGTACACTGTTGGTAGGATTGCAAACTAGTCCAGCCTTTTTGTAAAGAAGTATGGAGAATCCTTAATGAGCTAAAAGTAGATCTTTCATTTGATCCTTCAATCCTATTACCAGGTATCTATCAAGAAGAAACAAAATCATTTTAAAGGAAATTTGCTCTCAAACGTTTATAGCAGCTCAAGTCACAGTTGTAAAGATGTGGAAACAACACAAGTTACCATCAACCCATAAATGAATCAGTAAACTGTGGTCTATGTATAACCTGGACTACTATTCGACCATAAAAAATGGAAACTTTATATCTTTTGTGTTCATCTGGATCCTTATTAAAGAATCTCAAGAATGGAAAATCAAGCATCCCAAATACTCAATATTAATTTGAAATTAGTAGATGAACAACTAAATGAGAGAAAAACAAATTCAAGAAGCAGGAAATGGGGGAAAGGGAAAGGGGTTCAAAACGCTCCCACCTAATAGATACAATGTAGGGGGTACATGGCATACCTCCTGGGTGAAGGACTCAAATACAACTTTTCCTAACAAATCTGAACAATGTAACCTATTGTATGTACCCTTATATTAATCCCACTCCCCAAAAGGTAAAAAACCAATAACTGCTGCCATGGGTATGGTTTAAAGGGAAGACTTATACACTATTGATGGTACTGTAAATTAGTACAAACTCTATGGAAAATTGTATGGAGATTTCTCAAAGTAGATCTATAATTTTACCCAGAAATCCACTTCTGGATATCTACCCAAAGGAATAGAAGGCATTATAGAAAATGAGTTAATTGTCCATCAACTGATGAATGCATAAAGAGAATTGGTATATCTACACCATGGAATACTATTCAGCAATAAAAAATGAGAAAAATGTCCTTTTCAGTAACTTGCAGGGGACCAGAGGCCATTATACTAAGTGAAATAACTCAGAAATGGAAAATGAAATACCACATGTTCATTTAAAGTGGGACCAAATCTATAGATACTTGAGGTCATATAGAATAGACTAACAGACAGTGAATACTTCCAAGGTTGGAAGTATTTATCCCTTTCCCCGTGAGAGCCTATTGGGTATAACATATACTATTTGGTACATATAGTATTAGATGGGCACACTGAAAGCTCATATCTCACAACCATACAATAAATCCATGTAACAAAACTTCACTTGTACCCCTTAAATACATTGAAATGATAAAATTTCAAAGACAAAAAAAAATTTGAAAGATATTTATAAAAATAATGATAGAACATCTGTTGGTAGGATTGCAAACTAACACAGCCTCTAAGGAAGGAAGCATGGAGAATTCTCAAAGAGCTAAAAGTAAACTTTCCATTTGATTCTGCAATTCTATTACTAGGTATCCACCCAGGAGAAAAAAAAAAAAACGAAACATTTTACCGTAAGGACATATGCACTTCACCACTCAATTCACAATTGCCAAGATGTGGAATCAACCCAAGTGCCCATCAACATATGAATGGATTAATAAACTATGATGTGTGTATATACACACACATACACACCACAGAACACTATTCAGACAAAATGATGGAGAATTTACATCTTTTGTATTAACCTTAATGGAGCTGAAGAATATTCTCCTCAACAAAGCATTGCATGAATGGAAAAGCAAGTATCCAATTTACTTATATGAAGCTAGTAGATGAAGTACATACCCACATGAGGGAAAACACAAATTCAAGTTGGGGGTAGGGGCAGAAGGGGAGTAATGGGAGGAGGGAGGGAGATTGATAAGCTCTCACCTAGTAGGCACAATGTAAAGGTGTATAGCACACCTCCTGGGTGAAGGGCTCAATTGCCAACTGGACTTTACCTAACAAATGCAAACAATGGAACCTAATAATTTGTACCCTCATGTTAATCGGAGAAAAAAAATTTCTTTCTGGATATTCTAGTATATGAATGTTAACCTTTCAACTTCTTTCACCTTTCAACTACACACACACACACACACACACACACACACACACGCACATGTATTATATAGATGAATATTTTAATGTGTTTAAAATATATAATATTTAATCTCTCTAGCCCTTCCTGATGCATTCTGAGGGAGTGTTGACTGTTCTGCTTCTTACTAATTTGTTTCTCAGCTAAGCAATCCAGCATTCAACTTACTTATTATGTTTTAAAAACTATTATTTCTTTCCTCCTAACCTCTAGTTTTATCTTTTAAACTACTTCATGCTTTGTTTCCAGTACTCTCATGTTTCTGGCTTGAGCGTCTAAGGATTTAGAGGTGTACTCCTGGGGAGGGAGGAGACATTCTTGAAAGCAGAGAACTTGTGTGTTAAAAATCTGTATCTACCCTGGCATTACTCTTTGTCTAGGCATGGTCTTTTAATCATTTAAGTTTTGAGATTTGAAGGGAGACAGGAGGAGAAAGTACGTTTTACCTGATCCTTAACCCAGACAGGCTTCACTTCCAATTTTGTTGTTACCCCTCGCTGTGCTGTGGTGTGCTAACTGGCAAAGGAGTCACGAGGAAATAGAGAAAGGGTAAACCCAAATGCTCTCTCTCTCACTGTATCTCTCATTTATGGCACCCAGCTCTTTTCTGTTCAGATTTGTTATTTCCTCCTCCTTGGATCTAACTATCCTATGCCATTCCAAAGATTTGTCAAAATACTTACATTAGTTTGATAGATTCAAAACTGGTTTTGGAGAGCGTTAGGAGCTTGTGCTAATTTGCTATCTTATCAGGAACTACATGCCAGCATCTGAACATAAGTACTCAGAGACCAGACCTTTATCCATAACCTGCTGATCTCGCCTTAGGTATATTTTATTGTTTTCCATGTTTATGCCTTTGTATGATTACAGTCTATACCTAGGATTTTGAATAGTTTTCTCTACTATTTATAGCTATAAGAATCTTTAAGACATAGCAAAACCATTTTTACCTAATAGAGACCCTCTAATCGTTCTTTATACTTATTTTTCTTGTGACTCTTTAACACTTCAGTATATTATTAATTTACTTTTGATATGCTCCCCTATAAATGGTTTTTAGTTTGTTCCATGTACATGCTAGTTGTTGGTCCAAATAGACAGAAAAGTCCTGGCTTTCCAGGAATTTTCTAAAACCCAATTTAAGTGGTAAACTGGCATTGACTAGCTAAGATACTATATAATTGATTAAGTGAAAAACAATTCCCTAATATGACTTAAGGGAAAAAAAAACCAACTTACTTTTTCCAAGTCCTCCACATTCAATCAGGATTTCAAAGAAAGCATCAAGAATTCTGCAGAGAGTCATGACAATTGTTACATCCTGTGTAGGATATGGCTGAAATTTCTCATATTTCTTTATAAATTGTAGTCCATCTGTGATACTTTTCTTAATCAGAAGGTCCAGACAATCCACTCCTGATTTATCTAAAACTTTAGAAGTTTTCAAAAGCCAAGACTTGGCATAAGGCTCCCATCCCAGATCAATAGGATCCTAACAACAAAAAGCACAAAATGGTCTTACACAAATAAATGCAAATACAGTATCCTCCTACTTTCTTATTATCTTTTTACTTCACCACTGCCCCCTACCAGATTTGGTCCAGAATTATCATTCATTAAAAGGCAAATGATCAGAACAGCTTATGGGGTTACTTTTCTGGAATGATTTGTGATTTCTAACCATAGTCTTATAAAAGAACAAGCAATTGGGGGAGGTGTGTTGAGACTCTGTGCATGTGGTGAGGAGACTGCCCTCCCAGAAGTCAGTCAGTTCTATACTTAGCTTTATGGGTCACATTCAGTTAAGGAGATTTGAATGTAGGGTTAATTAAATTCTACCTAATAATTTCAGGTACAGAAAATATTTATTCTTTGTAGTGTCTTCTACTTACTCACCACTGTTTTCATAATGTGTTTTCTAAGTTTTTAGAGACTTGGAGTGAGTATGAAAAGGACTTAGAGCAATATTCCTTTAGTGGAAAAAATAAAATAATAGCAGCAGCCTAACATGTCTATTGAAAGCACTACTTACCACAGTTGCAGAAAATACTGACACTCCAGTTAGTCAGAAAACTATTAACAACATTAGCGGTTACATTCATATTCAATTCTACATTATGAGGCTTTGGGAGGTACAAAGCTTCTGAACTACTGTGGTCATGCTGCTGGATACCCAGGCAAAAAGAAAATAAACATAAAAAGCTGTAGAAAATGGCTAGTTATTATCCTAAACAATGTATTTTCTTTGTTAAGAAATTTGTTATTAAAAACTTACCATATAGACCATTGCACATCGACTGACGGTAGCAGGACTGGCCTGAGAGAGACTGTCCACTTCAAAAATCAGTCTTATTTTATTAGTTAAAGCTATTCTCTCACTGTTTGCTAGGCACAATGTTCTAGTGTCATCTAGCACAGAGTTCAGATTTTCTACCCAAAACGTATCCACAGGACCATCTAAGATAACCCACTGCCAATCAAAATCTGGAGAGAAAAATATTCTTAATGTAACTGAGAATAATGTCAATCTTCTTTCATTATAATCTTACAGTTTTATATTTAGAAAATATTTTCTGAGATGAAAATGAAATCCTAAAAAACATGTGAATGTGTTTATATGTAGCCTCCAGTATTTACTGAATATCAATAAATATTCATACTATACATTTGATAACACTTTAAGCATTGCTTAAATATTCTTAGATAGTTGAACTGGATAATTAATTAACTCTTAAACCTGGATAGGAGAAATATTCATGATTTTATCTTTTTAATAATAATACGATTTGCCCCTTACACCCTGCAATACTTTTCAGATATACTTCCCCTGAAAATGGCAAAGGGAAATTAGACACCTTTGACTAAATTTGACACCTTTGAAGAAAGAATCAAATGGACAGAGATTAGAGTACAGGGTGGACATAAAGTTTGTGTGCTAATTAGTAAACTAATTTAAATTGCACAAGAACTTGATGCCCACCCTGTACATCACACTGGGAAGCCATTTACTCCTCTTTCCACACTTTCCACACTGTCATAGTTCCTTTGGGCTGCTATAGCAGAATACCTCAGGCTGGATAGCTCATAAATGGAAATACATACATTTCTCACAATTCTGGAGGCAGATTTGGTGTTTGGTGAAGGCTGTCTTTCTGGTTCACAGATGGTGTCTTCTTTGTCCTTACACAGTAAAGAGGTTGAGGGGTCTCTCTGGGGTCTTTTTTAGAATGACACTAATATCATTCATGAGGACAAACTCTTATAATCTTATCACCTCCCAACCCCTTCTCCTTTTAATACCATCACCTTTAAACCAACCCCTTCCCCTTTAATATCATCAACATATGAATTTTGTGGGGACATAGCACACACTCTATAACCACAGCTATTCTCATAGTTTTAGAAAAATTCTGTTGGTCAGGAGAGGGGAGTTGTGAATAGGTCTTTATGCAGAAAAAAACGAATTTACCACCAAAAGAAATTTAAGTATCTCAGAAGAATCAAAGAGTCAAGTTGGGATACATATAGCTACTACTGCTAAGATGGGCTCTGACTGGCTAAAATATCTAAATATCTGCTCTAGTGACTGTCAAAAAGCCCTGTGAATGAAACGTTATATCTAACCATTGTACTCCTCCCAAAATGACATACAAAAACGAGGGAAGCAGAAGCAGCAGTAGAAGCCTCTTTCAAAGTCCGGATCATAAATGTACTACTGGTGGATGTGTTGATGTGAGGTTCAATCTGTAGTAGGAAAAGCAATGTTTGGAACTCTTCTAAGATACTTGTCAGCTTCTTGTGCACAGGACAAACAGGGACCTTGTCATATACCCACACTGTCCCCTGCCTCATAGCAACGTGTTTGGAAAATCATGGGCATGTATTTCATTCTTGGGATGTATGACCTGGCCTGAGAATGCATAGATTGTTTAGATTTCCACTTCAGAGGGAAAACCAGTGGCAACCCACTTGCTACCACTGCTTTTCACATCATTAGTTATTTCTAACTTTCGTGCCTACTTGTTCTTGTGAAAGGCTAATAGTCATTTATAAAATGAAGAGTTCTTTAAGCCCTAGTACTTATACAGCATAATAATATATGTATACATTATAATATGTGATAATACTATACAGATTTTAAATAAACACAAGAGGAAAAAATAAATTGTATAAGAACAAAATATCACGATACAAAAATAGTGAAGATATAAATGTAACTAATATTGGTTCAAAGTTTGTTTTCTACATTATTTCTATAAATAATACAAGAATCATCTTTATTGAAATTAGTAACACTTACTGTGAATTTCTGAAATTTTAACATCTTTCTGCATCTCCTTCTCAAAGCTAAGATCATCAGCATCTGCTATATCAGGTATTTCAAGTTTGAAAATCTAAAATAAAATAATATTTAAATTTTTATTTGCTGACACTTTCCAACCCCATCCATACATTTTCTTTCTCTCTCTCTCTTTTTGAGACAGAGTCTTGCTCTGTCACCTGGGCTTGAGTATGGTGGCATCATCATACCTCACTGCAACAACAAATTATTCTTTTTCCTTTTTTTAAAAAAATTAATTCATAACTGTGTACAATTATGGGGTACAGTGTGCTGATTGGATATATAATGTGAAATACTTAAGTCAGACTGATTAACATAACCAGCATCTCACTTACTCATTTGTTGTGGTAAGATATCTATACTATACTTCTAGTAGTTTTGAAATGTACTCTTGCATTATGCACAATAAGTGAGATTCCACCAAATACCCTCCCTTCTCTCATGCTTCTCCTTTCCCTCCCCTCCACTCTCCTTCCTAGTTGTGTTTTATCGATCATATGGATGTGTAGGTGATGATATATTGGATTCATGATAGAATTGAGTACATTGGATACTTTTCCCCCCATTCTTGAGATACTTTACCAAAAAGAATGTGTTTTAGTTCCATCCAGGTAAATATAAAAGCTGCTAAAAAGCTTCCTTTTTTATTGTTTGGGATTCATTGAAATACAAAGAATTAGGTTACACTGATTGTTGTTGTTAGGTAAAGTTCCTCTTGTAATTGTGTCCCACCCCCAAGAGGTGTGCCATACACCGTGTCCCCATCCCCCTTCCTCCTCCCATCTCCTTGATCCCTCATTCCCCTACCCACCACCTTGTATGAGATCATCTATTGCTTTCATATTAGAAATGAATACATTGGATTCTTGCTTCTCCATTCTTGTGATGCATTACTAAAAAGAATGTGTTACACCTCCATGTAGGTTACTACAAAAGATGTAAAGTCTCCATCTTTTTTAATGACTGAATAGTATTCCTTGGTATACATATACCACAGCTTGTTAATCTATTCCTGGGTTGGTGGGTATTTAGGTTGTTTCCATGTTTTGGCGATTGTGAATTGAGCTGCAATAAACAGTCTAGTACAAAAGTCCTTATGATAAAATGATTTTTTTTCTTCTGGGTAGATGCCTACTCATGGAGAAATTGGGAGATCTAATTTGAGTTCTTTAAAGGTTCTCCATACTTCCTTCCAAAAAGGTTGTATTAGTCTGCAGTCCCACCAGCAGTGTATAAGTGTTCCCTTCCTTCCACATCCACACCGGCATCTGTATCTTTGAGACTTTGTGATGTGGGCTGTTCTCACTTTGTGATGTGGGTTAGGTGATATCTCAGGGTGATTTTGATTTGCATTTTTCTGATGATCAGGGATGATGGGCATTTTTTCAAATATTTGTTAGCCATTTGTTTGTCTTCATCAGAGAAGTTTCTGTTCATGTCTCTTGCCCAGAGGTACATGGGATTGTTTGGTCTTTTTATATTGATTAATTTGAGTTCTCTGTACATTCTAGTTATCAACCCTTTGTAGATTGATACCCTGAAAATATCTTTTCCCATTCTAAAGGTTGTCTTTTTGCTTTACTTGTCATGTCCTTAGCTGGCTCCCTCTGGCAGTCCACCAAATTGGGAAAGTGTCTCTCCAAAATTGACCCAGACAGGATCACTCTACTATCACTGATGCTGCATGAGAGGTGCCTCCACTTGGGTACTCGCACCTTGGTGCCAGTTCCCAAGCCTCCACCCACTGCTGATTAGGACTTTTGCAGAGCCGGTTCCCAAGCCTCTGCCCACCGCGTAGGTTCCCGAGCCTCCACCCACTGCACAGTGTCCCAAGCCTCCACCTGCTGCTGAATAGCACTTTCACAGAGCCAGGTTCCCAAGCCTCTGCTGGCTGGGAGATGTCCCAAGTCTCTGCCTGCCTCTGTTAGCAGTTTTGCAGGGTCAGACCAGACACCCTCTCCCCTGAGCCTTTCAACCCTAGTACTGGATTCACTGTTACCATGCAGCTGTGCTGCTACACAAGCAATGCCGGGTTCTAGGATAGAACTGTGGACATTCTGGGTCTCTGTAGGGGTTGGGCTTCTAGACTGCCAGGCGAGAAGGGAAGTGTGGACTGGGAGTTCAAAATGGCTGGGAAATTTTTTTCCCCAGGCCCCCAAATTTCATGCTGGGCTTGAGAATGCCCAGGCTCATAGCAGGGTCTCTCTGGAGAAGGCTCCCGGCCTCCTGCAACTCACTCCTGTGGGGTCAGACAAAAGGTCTTCAGATTGCTGCTGCTTTTAGAGTTCCTGGGCAAGTGACTCTATTGGGGGAGGGGATGAGCACTAGTCTTCTTTGGGATGCGTTTTGTACCTGAAATTTTCTTCCTTGGAGTTGCAGCCTGCCTCAGCGGAGATGTAGTGCAATTATCAACCTTCTCTCTCAGCTCGGCTCCCAACGTTTGGCTTTATTGAGTTCTTTCTAGCCATTATCTATTCCTCTTGATGGGAGCTTCTGTTGAAAGCTGACTCCAGTTGGCCATCTTCCCAGGTCCCCCCTCCACACTGTCAAATTTCTGGTCATAGAGTTTCTTGTACCATGTTTCCCTGAAAATAAGACCTACCTAAAAAATAAACTCTAGCAGGATTTCTATGCATTTGTTAAATATAAGCCCTACCCCAATAAAAAGACCTAGTGATGGAGATTTTGGCATGGAGAATAAGACATCCCCTGAAAATAAGCCCTAGTGTATCTTCTTGAGAAAAAATAAATATAAGACAGTGTCTTATTTTCCGGGAAACATGGTAGTAGTCAGAAGTAGTCTCTTGCATCTCTGTGGTATCAGTTGTTATTTTCCCCTTTTATTTCTGATTGAAGTTATTAAAGATTTTACTATTCTATTTCTGGTTAATCTGGCCAATGGTTTATCGATTTCATTTATCTTTTCAAAGAACTAACTTTTTGTTTCATTAATTTTCTGAATGATTCTTTCATTTTCAATTTAATTTATTTCTGATTTAATTTTGGTTATTTCTTTTCTTCCACTGGGTTTGGGATTGGATTGCTCTTCCTTTTCCACTTTTTTAAAAAGATGATTTAGTAAGTTATTGATGTGCTCTCTTTCTGTTTTTTGGAGACAGGCATCTAATATAAATTTCCCTCTTAGCACTACTTTTGCAGTGTTCCACAGGTTTTGGGAGCTTGTGTCTTCACTGTTATGCTCAAAGAAGTTAGTGGTTTCCTTTTTATCTCTTCTTTGACCCAACTGTCATTGAGCATAAATTTCCATGCCTTTGTTCAGGGATGACAATTTTTGTTGGAATGCCACCTTTATTGCTTGTGGGTGGAGAAGATACAAGGTAAAATTTCAATTTTTTTGATTTTGTTGAGGTTTGATTTGTGTCATAGGACACGATCTATTTTAGAAAAATTTTCCATTGGCTGATGAGAAGAATCTATATTCTTCAGCTTTTGGATGGAGTGTTCTATATATGTCTATCAAGCACAGTTGTTCTAGGGTCACATTTAAGCCCCTTGCATCTTTGTTTAGTTTCTGTTTAGAGGATCTGTACATCTCTGTAAGAGGAGGAGTGTTAAAGTCCCCTGCTATTATGGTGTTTTGGGATATCATATTGCTCAGATTAATTAAGGTCTGTTTCAAAATCTGGAAGTATTTAAGTTGGGTGCATAAATATTTAGAATTGAAATGTCTTCTTGTTGTATTGTTCCCTTGACCAATGTGAAGTGTCCATGTATGTCTTTTTTGACTTTAGTTGCTTTAAATCCACTTGTAACTGAAAATAAGACTGCAACCCCATTTCTTTTGATTTCTATTTGCCTGAAAAATTGTTTTCCATCCCATAACCCTGAATTTTAATTTACCTTTTGAGGCTATATGTATTTCCTACAGATAGCAAATGGATGGCTTGAGCTTTTTTGTGTAATCAGGCAGGTTATGCCTCTTCTATGGGGAATTCAAACCATTAACATTTATTGATATAATTGATAAGTGTGGTGAAGTGCTATTCATCTTATTTTTTAAAGTCCATTGCTTAGTTTTGTCTTTTGCATCATTGTGGAAACTAGTTTGGTCCTTTAGTTCCTGGGTGTTTACTTTGCTGGTGGCCCATTGAGATGGTCAGTGTGTAAAATAAGTCTAACTATCTCCTGTAGAGCTGATCTTGTTGTGGCAAATTTCCTCAATGTTTGCATGTCAGTAAAAGATTTATTTTCTCTGTCAATTTTAAAGCTTAGCTTAGTGGGACATAGAATTCTGGGATGAAAATTGTTTTAAGTAGACTAAATGTAAATGACCATTGCCTTCTGGATAGAGAACTTTCATTTGCAAAGTCCACAGTCACCCTCATGGATTTGCCCCTGTAGGTCAATTGGCACTTTTTCCTGGCAGCTTGCAGAATCTTCTCTTTTGTCTTGACTTTGAACAGGTTCATGAAAATGTGTCTTGGAGAAGCTTGATTTGAGTTGAGCAAACCTGGGGTCCTATATCTCTCTGAAAGGAGTGTGTCAAAATCTTTGGTGATATTTGGAAAATTTTCATTTATGACATCCTCTAATAGGACTTCCATGCCTCTGGGGTGCTCTTCTTTCCCTTCTAGGATGCCTATAACTCATGTGTTTGAAAGCTTCATGAAGTCCCATAATTCTGTCAGTGAACATTCTGTTTTCTTTCTCTTTTTTCCCTGTCTTTTTAATTGCATAAGTTATCTCAAGAGCTTAATCCTCTACCTCTGAAATTTTTTCTTCTGCATAGTCTGTTATTGATACCTTCTACTATATCTTTAAATTCCCTAATTGTTTCAATTCCTTAAGCTTTGCTATATCCTTTGTATATTCTTCATATCATTCATCTCTTATTTGATTCTGTTTTTGGATTTTGTTTTGGTTATTTTCCATTTTCTCCATTTCCTCCATTGCTTTTACCTCCATTGCAATTTCCTCCATTGCTTTTACCATCCATATTTTAAATCTTTCTCCTATCATTTCTAACCTTTCCTTATAGGTAGAGTCCTCTGTAGTAGCTGCTTCATGATTCCATGGTGGGAGTTTTGCTCT